GGGGATCCGTAACTTTAATGGTACAGTCAAAGCTGCCCAAGATGACCACCCATTGTCGAGGAGAAAAGTGGTTATCTTAGACAGCTGGTCCTCTTGGACAGTTCCATTTTGATGTATAGAAAAATGATAGCGTAGAAGGCGGAAAGAGGCAATGGTTGGGGTGGCTGTCTTAGACAGGTGGTCATTAGAGCAGGTTCGACTGTATTTGTAATATCTTACCTATACAGTCTCACTCCACAGATTAAGAGTACCACACCTAACGCAACAATACCGACAGCGATCCATTCAGTCGGTATGAACTCTCTGTCGATTACTCTTAGGCTGTCTGAAAACAAAAAACAAACAGATCTTTATTCAATAACAATAGTGAATAATAATTGCATTTATATAGCGCTTATCCGTTCTCTACAGTATGTTCTAAGCGTTTTACAACTACTATCATCCCAGCAGACCATAAGACATTCAGAAACATTCTCATCTCTGTGCAAGCAGCTAACACTAACAAACTGACATGGTTTTTCACAGACTGTAGCGAGGTACAGTGGAATCCTGTTATAACGAGAGGGAGGGGACCGGAGCAAAATGTCCGTTATAGCAGGATTCTCGCTATAAGGGATCCAGTAATAAATTCAAGGGAAACTGTAAAGTAGGCCTAATCTATGAGTTAAGTGTTCCGTTTATTTCCTTTTGCTATCTCCCCTGAGGACGATTTTGTTTCAACATGACTTCTAGGTCTTACTTGATCAAAAATCGAATCAAGTTTCTTTCTCTTGCGCTAGATCTAGCGATGTGGACTGATAGCTCGGTGTTGACGATCAAAAAGGAAGGGCTCTGGGCTAACTCGCCCGTTGTTTCCCCCCCCCCCACCTCACCACACCCTGTGGGGCATTCTGTCTGCTTGCGCACGTCACACATTAGGTCCATCCATCACATTGCTGTGACCTCTCCATCCCCGCTTCAGAGAAGGGACTGAGAAGCATGGTAGGCCTTGATAATGTAAACTACGCTTACGCTGGCATATCACACGATGTGTTCTGTTTGTCTGCGCATGCCACACCCTCCCTACTCAGTTGCTCCGGCCTTCATTGTTGACACATTTGGGCTCTCCCATTCTTTGTTTCGATAGATCACCAACAAGTTTCTCAACTGGCGAGGTTTTACGTTATGTAAAATTGGCCTATGCACCGTGCACAACAGCAGCAATATTCCGCTATAACCGACTCGCATGTTTGTCTGAGATAGCGCTATAGCAGTATTTTATTTACAAAGGTAAAGAGGAGAAAAAAACGGGGTTTCAGAATAGCGTCTTTATAACAGACTTTTCGTTTTTCCGGACTCGTTAAAAGTGGACTCCACTGTACCATTTCCCACGTGGATTAGGGGAGGAAAATTGTGCCTTTCCCAAGGCACCACGCAGGGGCCCTGGCGGGGTTTGAACCCATGACCATTCGGTTATAATCTCGACAGCGTAACCATTAGACTACCGAAGCCACAATTAACTCTTTGCCTATACCTATACCCTAAAGTATAGAACCTGCTAACCAGAGCTGGTGGAATACAGCATTTTATAGTGCTGTTAAAAATTCGTGGCGCAACGCATCCTTAAATATCTCTTTAATGGGTAATGTCAGGGGCGGCTCGTGGGTCTAAAAAGTGGGCGTGCACAATTAAGCTATCTAAGGTTGAAGATAGTCAAGGGCATAGTAAATGAGATGGTGTATAATTTTAGGATCTTTGGGTTGTTGAGGGAGAACCTTGTGATTCTATTTTCATTCTTTTTACTTGTGGCTTTGACTTCTAAAACAAAATCTGTTTGTTAGCTAAACGTCAGTTTAATTCATCCTGCATTAGAACTGAACACTCAAGCAATACGTTTCACCACTCCACTACAAAACCGTTCAAAAGCACAACTCATAGGACGATGGATCACCTCCCTCAGGTTCACGGTCACAGAGTCACTTAAAATAGCAGCAAGACAATGAACCAATCACAATTCACTTGAGCACTCCGCTGGATTGCTCCGGGGCTCACATAATGTTGGCATAGAATAGTGTGCAGTCTATCGCGTTTATTTTTAGATTGCCTACTGTGGGCTATGTTTTGGCACTATTCGGCAGTGAGATGTGCCGCCTTATTAATATTAATGTACCGCCAAACTCTCTACGAGTGCGTCATCGCTTGGGTTATCCCAAAGAGCGATTTATAGGTCAGGTTTCCACCGTTGAATATCCTGTTATGATTAGATACAGCGCATGAACTTTGGCATGGCATAATAGCTGTTTTACGGCACTATAGACACAGAAATGACAGTTACGGCGCCAGCAAGGACCTTGTTTTGATATAATATTTGGCTAGTGTTTGTTACTGGCGTCTTTTAGTTATTTTTTTGTGGGTGTTTTACGTAATAGAACATTAAAACATTTTGGGCGCCACAGCACGACCGTGCTCTATGGACGAACCGCGCCTGGGTAATGTCACCCATACTTTGCATAGCAGTTTATGTCAATTTGTCTTCTACAACAGTTGCGGCTAGTAAGAATATTTTTCTATAATATACTTTTATTATAAAATACTATAAATTTTCGTTACGCGGAAAATGGGACTGTTCACAGCTCTTCCAGCTTCTCACACACGTTTTGCATACGCATATATGACCTACGTTACAGCTCACTAATGACACTTTTAAGCCACAAATCTCTGCAAGGGGAGGATAGGAAATACAAAAAGGAGGATATCAAACATATGTTTGAATGTCCAGGAACAATGGCAATTCGAATGGAGTTATTTGGACGAGTGGAGGTGCCGCTAA